TTACATTATAATTACTGGGGCTACCTACTTACTAATTATTTATTTACTTATTTATTATAGCAGGGTTGGGGAGCTGTTTATTTGTTTATTCATTTATATTTTTTTGTAAGATGTATGTGTGTAAGCACTGGTGTCACTTTTTACCTCTTATGCACTTTAAATGGGAATCTGCTACTACCACTGAGTGTTGTTCTCCAAGCACAATTTTGTTGCCTTTTTTAGACAATGACAATAAATTCTTGAATCCTTGATTAACGGATTTAATGATTCAGTTATGATAAGGCAAAATGAAAACAGTGATCCATCATCATATGCCTGGTGTGGATTGATATCTGGTATATGTAATCATATCGATTGCAGACTTGTGAAGTGAATCAAAATCGTGTCATGACAAACTTTGTAATATCGTGAAACATTGTATCATCARCCAAACAAACTTATATATCATACTGTGATAAACTCGATGGTTGGCACCCCTAATATAAAGTGGAACTGCAATTATTTGGTCTAAAATCCTTGTTATTGCAGCTCCACAGGCCCCTCTTTCACCCCCATTATGAGGTGCGTCTGAGATAGTGATGTGACMTTCACGAACGATCCGAATCTTTTGAACGGCTCTTTACAARGAACGYTAGGAGCRGAGTTGCGGGCAGGAAGGAGCCATTTGTAGTTTTATATATCTTTATTTTTTCATCCTTAAATTGTTCCCGCTTTGCTTTTTCATAGAAAACAGGCAGAGCGGTGGAGAACAGAGACTCACGGGAAAGGCGGAGGGAGATTTTTGCTTGACAAAACACATGGTTCTGCCCACGTAACGTGATGACGTCATCACGTCGCCATACATGATGACGTATTTCCCTATGTGATGACGCAACTCGCTCAAAATCAAACGGCTCTTTTGGACTGCTCTACGAAACAAACAAGATCCTAAGACCCAGATCCCATCAAAGAGCCATTTATCCCATCACTAGTCTGAGAGCTACTCGTTTTGGTGCTGTCRCTTTATATCCAAACAAGGCACTTCACACCCCGCCCCCCTCCTCCCTGTTTGGCTATTTTTGTAGTTTTACAACAGATACGATTATCTAGCGGTGCAGAAACTTATTTACAAATGAATTAAAAGATGTCAACAAGAGAAGACTTGTCCATCCAGCCTTACATGTTGGAGCCAGAGTCTGACCCAGAGCCAGAGGAGGATGAAGTTGATTTTGCCAGAAATGTCTCCTTTAAAACTGTATCTACCAGTCCTTTTTAAACCAGCTTTAAACGGTCTGAGCTCATAGCAGATTCAATGAAAGTCCAGTTTTCTGTTCCATTGGCCCGCAGATTTCCTCTGCCTTCAGACTTGTCGTCAGCAGACATTTGATGCAAACTGCTTTGCTCCGGTGCCGCGTCTGTATTGGTGGTTTGGGACTGCTCTGCTACAGTACGAGCTACAAGAGGAGCTACAGTGACAGCTGTGTCCAGACAGTGTTGGAGCGTCCACTGCCTGCTGTCAAAATCTGCCCACAAATCTGTTAGATCTGGAAGAATCTGGCTCCCTGATGTGGTGCGCTGATACTTTTTATTACTTRGTCTTTTTTTGCTGTAAGTTTAAAKAAACAAATAATAGAYCATGAAGCATCATTTCAGTACAAGATAAACTGAAAAAAAAAAGATACAATTATTAAAAAAAAAAGTTTGTCCAGACTATGAGCATGCCAAAAATATTAGATTTTTTCTTTAGACAACAGGTTTGAGTATGTGTGTGCATGTTTACTGTGTATGACATAGCAATTCAGCTAATTTGCTCTGGGAGCCACAGTTACTGCAGGCCAACWYRWCAGGGGCCYAACATCCAGCAATAAGTCATTATGTAAATAAACGAAGTATTACAAAGATCTGTTTCTTTTGAATTAGTTTATTTTGCTGCATTTAATCATGAATACAACATACTGAATTCTTTGGTATAAAAATAGTGATAATAAAACAATATCAAAAACACATTATGCCTCCTATTTAACACAAATATTATTTTTCTGACTTGCCAAATTTTTAACCAATTATATTTTCACTTTCATAGTTTTATCTTCAACTGTTTAAAGTTTTAACTGTCTTAGATGTTCATAGAAATGTTTTTTACCAGCTTCTAAGATTCTAACATTTCTGTAGATACCACATATGTTTATGTCTAACTAAAAGATTTTGTAATAAAGTAGAAAACCTGGGGTTTGGGTTGCAGGAGATGAATGAACCAATTGCCGGGCCAAACTTTGGTCACTTGCGGGCCCGGCTGTGGTC